TATTTTAAAACGTGACATATATATAATGAAATAAATATTTAAATTTGTTTGGAGATCATATTAAAAAATAAGTAAAAAAAATGTTCTGTTTGATAGATGTTCATTAAGGATGAAATTTTCATTTCTCAATTATTTGATATTTATATAATTTTTTTTTAGAAGAATTATTGAGCGGAAAATTATTAAATTGTCTTTGTATCAAACAAAATTGTGAATGATTTAATTCAGAACATATAATTATAAAGAGATCCTAGATATTCCGATATTTATGAATTAAAAAATCAACGAACCGAAATGCTTTTTTTCGAAAAGCATTCTTTATTAAAATATGCGATAATATCTATGTTTTGTATAATTTATTAATTTGCCATTCTATGTAATAAACATTTAATTATATCGATGATGTATTTTGCTTCTCAATTTACATTAGTATTATTTACATGTACATATAAAATAGTAATAATATTCTGTCGCAATTTTATGAAATAATTTCTAAAGATTTTGTACATGAAAGTTTCAGCTACAAAAAAGACTCATGTGAATAAGAGTTTGCTAAAAGATTTATCTTCACCGAGATTAATCTGACTCCAATCAGTTGCTTTCTTTTTTTAATTTAATCGAATTTTGCTATAATGTATAAATTTAAAAAGTCCACTCAAGACAATGGACGCCTCGGGACGATGAAAATAGTTTGCAATTTTCAAGGTGTGTGGGCCCGCGCATGCAACTGTCTCTCTCCTCGCTCATTTCTGCTTCTCTCGTCCCTCGCTACAAATTACACCGACAAGCGATCTAAGAACAAGGAGAACTGCTCTTGTTGAAGAATTAAAATCTCATCAGACCTTCCGAAAGAGATGATGCGCGCGTTCTTGCGAACAATTGAGAAAAAATGGAAGAATTAAGAGGTAAACGCTGAATCATTCTGATGTTCTGAATAGGAGAGCTATTTTGAAACTATCCTACGGAGCAATTATGACAAATTATACAATTACAATTTTAAATGCTAATTGTAATTCTTGAG